TTATCTTGAGAGCTTTTCAAAACGCTATAATAAAGTATTTTTTCATTAAGTATTTTATGAGATATTTTATTTTTTATATCAAAATATGTCAGATTAAGATATAAAATAACTAAAAAAGTACTTAATGAAAAAATACTTTATTATAGTGTTTTGAAAAGCTCTCGAGATAAGCTACAAGAATGTGCAATAAAAAATGTGGGTTCCCGTTTAAAATTTTTAAGTTACTCCCCGCCCCTTTAGAGCGGAGGCAATTTTATGTTTACGTAGTTAAAAAGGCCCCTCGAAAATATGAAACTTTCTCATAAACAATTTTTTGATTTGACAAATATTTTTAGAGTTATTAGCTTGTAACACTTTACGTGGGCCACCCTGTATATATAACGTAAAAGAGAACTTTATTATAAATTTGTCCAGGATTAAATAGAGAACCTGAGACACGTCATATATACAAACAATAAAAAAGCTGCTTGTTTTTTCTGTGAGTGTTAATGCAACGAAATGAGAAACATGTTTGCGGAAAATCATTTCGATCATTAGCATAATCTCATTACGATCCAAGTCAAAGGTCTGAGTTGCAAAATCGATTGCTAGTTTATATGAAAAATCGTAAATCGCCCAACGTTGTTGAGACCGGTCCGCGATTGGCTTAATTATAATTATTACTTTCAAATCCACGATAAATCGACGACAACGACAATAATTGTTGATTCGCGGTTGAGACTTGTCGAAGGGGCCTGAAAAAAACGCAAGATTTATTAAACATTTCGCAATCACGGCTAGACCGAACTCTGTTTTTTTTACCTAAAATTTTTTTTTTTTTTTTTTTGCACGAACGTCTCGGTATACAGGGGATATTTCGCAATATTCTCGAAATTATGCTCGTCAAGCCAGCCGTAACAATGTTACATAGTTAAAAGTGACCGAGATACCCAGCTTGTTGTGCCGTCCTGAATTATGCTTCTTAATATGGCAAAAAACAAAATATTCCGCAAGCTTTTTTCAGACGGATTCGCCACATTGGTTGTTAATATTTGTTAAGTTTTAAGATTGAATTTCACGTTAGTAACACTGTTAGATACTATACGCCCGAAGCATAATTTCGATAGATGTATTTTTTTTTTTTATAAAATATATGTAGACCAACACAGACAGACAATAAAAAAATATATCTTTAAAAAAAATTAAATTAAAATAAAATATCAAAAAGATTAAAATAAAAAAAGAATATCATATCTTATGTTTTGTATAAAAGAGTCTCTTATAAGTCTCGTAAAAGTCTTGCTTATTATCTTTCCTCTCTTATCTTTATTCTCTGTGAAATGAACTGCCCCTAAAAGTTTTATCGTATCTCGAATCCGACGCGGTGCTTGAGCGAATTGTCCGGGGTCGCCCCGTCACAGCAATTACATCAATACAATTACATCATAGCCGAGAGGATTCTCGCGCTCGAGCGAGCGCGAGCCGGATGCGAGCTCATTGGAGCGCTATCCGGAAGCGAGAAAGAGGCCCTTCGCTCTCGTAAATTTCGCTGCTCGAGAAAGTAAGCTCCTCGCTTTCTCAGGAACCAAGGAATCGAACGAAAAAAAGGGTCGACTCGATATAAAGCAAAATTCGAAAGCGCGATCTTAATTTGGACGACGACCTTAATCGGCGTGCCGAATTAGGAATCGACCATCCCACAAAAGTCGAGAAAGAAACTCCCATGACCTCTCATTAATATTAATGATCGCGGCTGTCACACGCACGACGCATACTGTTTATCGTGCGCAGAAATGATCAACTAGATTATCGTCAAGTAGGCGTACGCGATCTCGCGTAAAGAAAAGTCGCGACATACAAACGTTAAGGGCCCAGTCTACTTTAGAGAGTCAAAACAAAGATCAATTTTTTTTTACATTTTCTGAAAGTACAATGTATTTTATAAAAAATTTCAAATTTTATATGAAAAATTCGCAAAATCGACCGCGTTATAACACTTTGATTAGAATGGCGTGCGGACCTTGAAATAGGCCTACAAAACTTTAAACGCATTCTTCTCGAAACATTGTTTTCAAAGTTGATGTGACGGATATCTTAAAAATTAATGGATCGAATAAATTTAATTCTTTTTAAATAAAAAGAAATACTTTTTTGGAGAAACTGAAGTTAATAAAAATTTAGAAAATTAATATTTAATATTTTTCTGACCTTTAAGAAATGAAAAAAATTTAGCAAAATTGAAATATCTATTTTTAAAATTACAATATTTTATTATTTTTCAATTTTCTTTAATGAAATTAGGTTCAGTACCTCATAAATATCCTATAGACTAAAACTAGATCGAGTTTAGTCAGTTCAGACAATTATACGAGAGGCAGTATGTCACACTGTTGAATCATGCATTTTCGAACAAAAAAAAGCTAAATATCCATGATTTAAAAATACTAACGCATTGTTTATATATCAATAAAAACATATGTAAAATGCTGAAAAGATCGATTTCTAATATTCTCAGAAAAAGTTCATAAAAATCATCAATTTTTCATATTGTTAGAGAGAGTAAAGAGTAAACTAAACCCTTAAGATCAAAATACGCCGGATGCATTATTTGCTCTAATTCGTTGCCAATAAAAATCTCATATTAACAATTTTATGAATCATTGCGTTTCTCCGATTGACAAGGGCTACGTAGACGGTTATGCAATAAAACGATTCGAGCTCTTATGTTCGCGTAGCGTGGCTCGTCGAGAAATAATCATCGGAATACACCGTTCGTCGAAATAAACACCGTTCTTCTCATGTGCAAACAGCGTGACGGCCGTTACACTCGTTTGTGCTTTCGTCTAACGATTAAATTAAGATCGCCGATATATACAGATTTTAATTACAGAATCGCGCAAAAAAATATTTTGACGAGCGCGAGATTAAGAGATCAACGAGATTGATGATGTTTCTTTCGGCATCTTTTTTTATAGATCATTTTAAATGTAGATCTCATCTCCCGTTCAGTCCAAAATTCGCAATCGTTGAGAAATCTTTGTGCCGATGATTTCTCGCGCATTAGGCAATTATTATCGATGTTCCAAATCGATCCAAATCGGCGCTGATCGCATTTTTAAACAGACGCGAAGAGCGTGTCCGGCGTTACGCTCGCGTTTTCTAGCAGCAATTAAAGTAAAACGCTTGTTCGGAATTCAGCGCGAGTTAGCACGGCTAGAATCAGCGATAGAGAAATTCATGGATCGGTAAAACGGAGAATAAATTGTAAAAATGGAATGAGAGAACATATACGAAAAAAGAGAAGAGAAAGAAGAAATATAATATTTATTCAAAACGATATTTTTGAGATCAAAATAAATTAACTTACAAAGTGAAAGTAAAGTAAAAAAATTAGAAATATTAAAATATATAAT